CAAAAATGAAAGTAACTCATGAAAAAACACCAAAGTTTGTCACTAATATGAAGAGCAGCTTCTGGTTTTACCATGTAATAATTTAAAAGTTCAAAACATTATCAAATACAGTTGCAGATACAACTATATTTTAATTTGTACTTTAAATTTTTAAACATTTTGAATGTATTTTAAAGAGAATTTAAACTTGTCAAAAAGCTGTTACTGTTATTGTTTGTCACTAATATGAAGAGCAGCTCAAATTGGGGACATTTTCGGGGACAGTTTCAGCTGGGGACAAGTCGTCCAAAACAGGGACTGTCCCTGTCTGGTCACCCTAGGTTTGATCCATCAGCTGGTGTCACAGATAGAAACAAAATAATGAAAAAAAGTGGAAACAAAGCTGAGTGTTTACTGTACCATGCATGTGAGCATACCCAAGTTTGTTTTTGCGCTCTTCGTGGAAGCGGTGAACAAAATGTTTGGCCTGGTTCTGGAGCTCCCCCTTCAGGGAGAGTCTGGTTCTACCACACAACTCCTCAGTGTCCCTGATGAAACCCTCCACTGCCTGAGACAGACTCACAAACTCTGTTGAGCTCAGACGCTCCAGAGAACCGTCCTGTTGGAAGCAAACACAACCGTAGAGTTTAAATAACTACAATGAACTATAAAAAGTTACAACTGTAAATGAATATGACACAAAGAGTTCAATGAACAATATGTGAGCTTTACAAACATGAAAACTAGAGCTGAGTGCTGAACACTTTACCTTGGCCCTGGCTGTGAGGACTTTGACGCAGCGATCATGGCTAACGTCTGAGGCCTTGTACAGCAAATCTTGGATGTTGCTAATCACACAATTCAGCTCCAACTCTGTAGTCGTCATGTTCTCACCAGACCTGAACAGAAAAAGTCACAACCTGTCAGAGTATATGCCAAGCATCTCAAAGCAATGATTTATACAGGTCCTTCTCAAAAAGTTACCATATTGTTATAAAGTACATTATTTTCTGTAATGTACTGATAAACATTAAACTTTCATATATTTTAGATTCATTGCACACCATATGAAGTAGTTCAAGACTTTTATTGTTTTAATATTGATGATTTTGACAAAAAACTGAAGAAAAATCAAAAATCCCTATCTAAAAAAATTATCATATTTCATCTGACCAATAAAAGAAAAGTGTTTTTAATAC